CACTGCGGAAATGGCCGCAACTTTGGCCGGGCCAGGTCTGTGCTGGCCAAACTCTCTCCGACAGATCTATGTTCAGATTTCGTCTGCGTGCTGCCAGCTCTCCCTCTAGCTATCTTTCTCTTTGCTTCCCTCTAGCTCTCTCTCTATCTCTATCATTTTAATTCACTGTCTCTTGTCGCTGCCTCTTTCTCTTTCTCTTTCTCTTTACCTACCTCTCGCTCTCTCTCTTCATCTCTCGCCATCTCGTTCGCGAGCCGCGCACACTTCCGGCTTGTTGATGTCTCTGTCTCGGTATGTTTTTGTGTGTTGCATTTGCTGGTCTGCTTTGTATGTGTGTGAGTGTTGGGACTGTGTGTGTTTTTGTTGTATGAGTGGGTAAATGTTGGCCGCTGTAAACAACAATGAACTGACGACGACTTTCGATACGCCCGACGCTCATCATTGTTGCAACAATCTGTGGCCAACAGCTCGGCAGAAGGAGAAGACACACAGACACACACACACATACACACACACAAACACACATATACACTGGCCAGTTTCATAATTTCACAGTTTCAGCCCTAGTTCCAGTTCCATTGCGATTGGCAGGCCGCTTCACCAAATACACTTTGCGGATCCCATGGTTCGATGCCAATTGGCAAGAATATGAGTGTTAAATTTGACAGCCAAATAAAGCGTATTGTTTTAAATGGGATATTAAATACATTTTATGATTTTAATCAGACAAGACGGCAAACCGATTTGGAACCGAACCAGTTCCAAATTCTTTATTCAACAAGAACCGAACCCTAAAACAGATAAACAGCCAAACTTATAAACGAGTTTAGCTTCTATTGAAAATTGACTAATTTCAATAAATAAAGAAATATATGTAAGGCGAGGCTTTTGTGTGAACCGAACCAATAGAAAGGTTTGTGAGGTTCGTAGCAGGAAAACTATAAATTTATTATTCAATGCATTTGTCTTCAGAAAAGAAGAGATTTTAAAAAAAATTGATCAATAATCAATATAAAATACCAAACATAAGTTGCCGCGATAAGACGCAACTTTTTTGGCCAAGGGATCATCATCTTCGACCCACTGTGCACGGACCAAACAATTTACATGATGCTTATATGTATTTCGCGCACTCACGAGACGTCCGCATCTATCAACAGCATCCCATGCACAGATATCCTAAAGGACAAAGGCCCAGCAGCAGCAGTGGCAAAAGTGAAATGAATGCAAATAGAAAAAAGGAGTCGAATGGACTCGAGTCTTGAATTGAGTCGAGCCGGGCTGATTCTGGAGTGAGTGCAGTGGTGTACGTGACGCAAAATGTCCTTTGCATTGTTGTCCAGCTGTTTGTCTAGCCGTCTCCTTGTTGCTTGTGCGATTTCCGCTCATTATTGCTGCAATCAGCCAGACAAAGGCGACACCACACACATCGGACTCGGACATAGAGCGCAGGATATGGGCCGGGAATTTATGCGTGTTTTGATTTTTGCGCACAGACACCATGTGGAGCATATCAATAAGGGCCTCTGAGTGTTGGAGTTATGAAAATAAAAATTGTCTGACATCCATTGGCGATTTGATTATGCTGTCATTTGTCGCAGCGTAAAATAACGCCATGATGGACAGCTGCCGCATCAATGGTAAATGGTATATGGTACATGGTATATGGTACATGGTATATGGTGTATTATATGTGGCCTGGCCATAAGGCAGCGTGTGCTATATGTAGTTGAAACTGGACTGCCAGCTGCCCATTAAAATTCAATTGGTATGGTTCTACGTGAGTTGGCTGCTTGAGACAAAAACAAATCTTTATGCATAATTCGGCCATTAAGACAAAAGTTCTTCATGGCCACTCCGAGTCTCAGCCTCAGCCTCAGCCTCAGCCTGAGTTGCAGGCTCTAAGTGCAGTCGAAGGCGGCGCGACGTCTATGCCAGATAAGCCTCGCCTCATTAATGCACAAAACATTAGCCAAATTCGAGTGTGTAAAATGCATAACACTTTGCTATCTGGGCCCAGCGCCAAGTTTTGCATTATATTCAATGCCTGAGTGAGTGGAGAAAACAGTCGCAACGTTCCTAATTGTCGGTACGGAGATTCGCTTGGTCAAAGTTAAAAAACTCAGCAACTGCCAATGACAGTCGGCACAAGGTTAAGAAATTTTCAAAATACATCCGATCGGGATTAAAAAGCACATTACTAAACAAAATCAGTCGAACCCAACTAAAAAAAGACTTTAAAGCTGAGCTCATAAAAAAGGAGTTTGAAAAAGTGCACAACTGAAACAACTGAGTCTCATATCATATTCCAGCTCGATGTTGTCGTCAATTCATAAATCCCGCTGAAAATAGAAAGACCTTCAAGTCTGCTATGACTAATTCCTAAGCCAAACCAGTTCAAATCTAGAAATGTAATGTAATGTAATGCAACCAAGAATTAAAGTCTGGCTAGATAAATAATAGCAGAATCCTAACCTAATACCAACCATATATAAAATACTGATGTCATCCAAAACAATGTTCTATGTGGATAATTGAAAATAATGTTGCAAAAGATATAATTTTACTGACAATGCGAGTCACTTACTAATCTTGATAAATAAAGAGATATGTAGATACGAATATAAATAAAGATAATAAATTAAATGGTTGGTCGATAGAAATTGATAATATGTATGACTAGCCATGGTTCGTACAATGCTAGAAAGTCTTCATAATTTCAGGAGACCGAATTCTTGATTGGGGATTCCCTAAGATGCCGCAGTTTAGTAATGGCATTTTGAGTTTTATGATTGATACCCACTTTTCTGGTTTGTGATCGGGCATTCAGTATAATAACCGATTGGGATGGTTTAATAAACTACGGAAGAGATGTCAAACGGTTGCGTCGTTCGCTGTTGCGATCAATTAGAAATTTGATTTGTTAAATAGGACATTATAATTTAACGACATGCTTCTGGGTATTCCCCTGAGAGATGTCTTGGATGAAGCATCAAGAATTTTGGCCACACACAGAAACGGCTCGTAAATTAAATGATTTTCTTTTTTCGTTTTGTTTTATTTTTATTGGCGCCTCCGCGCTCCGCTGGCGTCTGCAACGATGCGCTCCGGCTGCTTAAATAAATTAATACAGATATCAGGCAGATCGTGCATCGGATTACATCAAATTAACGCTGCTCCAAGCAAATGCAGGCAGAGCAATTAACTAAGCCGCTGCAGCGGATGTCTTGCCAGTGGCAGCAACCCGCCGCCCCCTCTGGAGGCTGTGTGTGCGCCCCATCGGTAAAGTTTAAACGGGGTCAAGCGGTTGCATTCCCCGTTCGGTTCTTATTTCTTTCTTTCTCTTTTTGTTTTTTACCGAAAATAGCACAGACACACAAATATAATAATACGAGCCAGGAGACAGGCGTGAGGCGACGTGGGAGGAGGTGAGCGCTAGAAAAAAGTGCGCAGCCAAACAGTTGGAGAAATAGAATTGATAAGTTTGTGGCGGGTGCTCCAAAAATAGTTGCGCAGTCAACGCTTCATTTCATCCGGCTGCCACGGAATTACACTAAAAAGGGGGCGGGCTGCGATCGGAGTTCGTTTTCGTGGTTGGGGCTGCCGATGGGGCTGCGGCTGCGGCTGCGACTGGGACTGGGACTGGAACGGCGACTGCTGGCACAGACGCAGCGACTAATTGCATAGTCCACATTAACGTCTATGCCGCATTATTCCAACATATTAAAACAAAGGCGACGCAACGGTTCCACCGGACAGCGTGTAGCTGTCCCAGGCGATTGATGATATCCATGCGTCTGGACAGACCTGTGCACACACGTTGCCCCTCCGCTCCTCTCCTTACCCCTGACTTGCTCATCCAACTCCAGACAGCCGCATGCAATGCAGGCGACCAGATGGTCCGAGAGCCCAGTAAAATGTTCACCAGACGATGCATCAGCTGTGCGTCAAAATTTGTTTGGTTATGCCGGGTTAGGGCAGGTCAGGGAATATCCTTCGTTCAATAGAGTACAGAAAGGAAGATAAACGATACTAATTTGTCTTATAGATACTTTGAGATAAATAAAAATAGAAAACACGACCTTATACACCTGATCGAATGAGTATGAAACCAATTTTGGAGCTACGTTAAATATTTAGTTTTTCAAGGCTGGTATTGTTTACGTTTATAATATTCAACAAACAGAGTTTAGACATTTGTTTAGACATTTCATCATTCACTGGCGTGTTGCTAGCCTTTACATAAGAATCCGAAGACTTGGAGCTTGCGAAACGCCTATCTGTTCTGGGCCTCGGGTAGGAGGAATTCCTACTGGGCAGCACGGATGTGGTTAATGTCAAGACGGTGGAGTCTTCTTCGGAATAACCTCTGCTTAAGTCATGGCGGAGTCCATGCCGTCTAAGGCAAGGCTCAGACCAGATATATAATTCGTATTATATTATTATATTATTGATCCCAACGTTTCAGCTATACCGACAACCGCCGGTTGTAAACTTACAATTAAGAACAAATATTGAGAGTTCTCACCAATCACGTTTTTCCCAAACATAAATATACTTTAACTGAACTTTCTATTCAAATTAATATTTATTAATAATTCTGAAAAATCTTTATCAAATGTGTATCATTGCAGTAGTATTGATACCAGCAAATTCCTAAACAGATTTTATATTTTAAAAACAAGTCTAAAACAGCTTTAAGCTTAAAAGCTATTCAAAGTTTTATTTATTAAGGACACCCATATCAGCTAAAGCTAAAAGCTTTTAGCGTGTTTTTTGTCCAAAGCTCACAAAAAGCTTTTAACTTGCTGCCATGGCTACTTGTGCCAGTTCATGGCTCGCGCTTAAGCTTTTTTTATGCACAATTCACGAGTCATGCCAACACTTAGAGAGCTTTCAAAAGCTCAATATAAGTTAAGGGAGCTTTTGCATTTGACGGCTTAAAGAAACTTACAGTATTTGAAATAGTATGGAATTGAATAGTATCATCAAGAACTTACCTGAAAAAATAGTGTAAACGCTACCCATTGATAATATTTTGTGTGCTTTATTGTAAGAGGGCCACGCCCCTGTGAATTGTGAATTCCAGGAAAAGGCACCTCGGAACCTTGCTTTTTCATGAACGCATCCACAACTGTATACGTTGAGTGTATCCAACAATATGTGTTGAGAACATCTTCAGGAATGTCTCTGTGGGAAAGCAATAATCGTACAGTTAATTATCGAAAACCAAAATAAAGGTCACCCGGCCTTGTCCGAGCCTGTGAGAAATATAAATAAATATATTCGTACTGTCTTGAAACACACGTGTATTTAACAAAGGTATTAGAAAATAGTAAATAAAGTCCGTCTCAAAGAAAAATTCTCAATTATCTTTTAAAATTCTTGCAACCATTTTCCACCGATTTCCCATAGTTTCGGGTGGCATCTGAGTGAATCAGCAATCAGTCAGTCAGTCAGTCGGTCGGTGAGGGCAAACAGCTAAATATATTGATTGGAAGATTATAATGCCACTTACCTTGTGTGTACACAGTCTATTGGGTTTCCTACGTACTGCCGCGTTGTCACAGCAATCGAGAATGTGATCAGTAAAATAACCGTTGCGTTTGTGTGCAGGCGAAAAACAGGTGAATCGATTTTGACATGAGACACCTGTTTTCGGGTAAATCGAGAATCCGAAGAAATTGTGTGTGTGGAAGTTGTTGATGGTGTTGGTTGATTTGTTTTTGGGCGTATGCGAAGAGAGAGAACATTATTATTAAGCGAATTGGCAGCGGGGGATTAAAGGGGGATATAAATCGAAAAGCTTTAATGCAAAACTGTAATACAAATTTTCTAAGTATATCTGTTTCATAATTAGGTTGTATTTCATTTGAATTGTGCTTTATAAGTTATATAAGTTGTATATGTACATTAACTTATATGGCAGGATTACTGTTTCTTTTTCCTTTTTTCTTCTTCTTCTTCTTCTCTTTTCTTTTTGACAAAAACTTGATTTCTTTGACGTTTCGCCTTACAATTAGTGTAACTGACTTACAAATTAACGAACAGAGAGAAAGTCTTCTGCCATACGTACAGGTTTTCATATATAGAAGGTACTTTACTTTGCTGATCTCAGCTGGCACACATTGGGGCCCGATTCGAGGGTATAACCGCGACCACTCTGAACAGCCGCTGGCCAAATGCGATCGATCATAACATACATATATGTATATATGTTTATATATATGTATATGCCAAATCGTAAGTTTATCGCGGCTTTATTGGATGCTGTTCAATTTGATCGCGATTAGGTGCCCGGGGGTATTAATTAATTGATATGAAATAAATACAATTGCAATTTCGAGTTGTCGAATTTAATACGGATTGGAAATTTGAATTATCATGTAAGTATAGTAAGGTGTCACAGCAATTTGGTAATTTTAGGCCTGACTTTTCTTTATACTATATAAAACAAAGAAAACAAAAGGAACGATAAATAAATTTTGGTGTGAAGTGTAATACGAATTGCGAAGTATGCTGACTAGCAATTGAATAGAATTGCTGGGAATGCAAATTTATGTTGAGGTTTTGACGTAAATCATAAGGCGGCCACTGAAGTGAGCGAGAGAGAGAGAGAGAGAGAGAGAAAGAAAGGACGGGAGAATGAGTTAGAAAGAGTGAAAGAGAGAGATTGAATGAGCAGAGATGATAGTCGATTAGCGATTAAGGATAAACGATTAACGATTAACGCACTTCAGTTGGGCCGCCATTTAATGGGCTGAATGCCAATTGGGCTTTACGTGATTTGTTCGACTAATTTAAAGTTTTCGCTTAAATTTCAAATTAGATTTGAATTTGAATTTGTATTTGAATTTAGTTGTTCGTAACGATGACCACTCAATCGATATTTTATAAAATGGACTCACTCGTCAATTTCGGCTGACTATGAGAAGTTTAATAAAATCACAACAAAATATTTAGAAAGCATAAGAGAAACTCTAAATGTTAATAATAAATAGTCTCGTGAAACGGTCTGGTAAAACCCATGAAATTTCGATAATGGCTTATCAATGTCTGCAAATCGAATGCACAGATTTTTGGTGGTGGTTTTAAGTTTTGTAGTAGTTTTGTTAGTTGCTTGTTGGTGAATAAGTAAAATGTGATCGTCAGAGTAGTACAAAACAAATCTGGCGCTTTTCTATTTTGTAGTAGCTGAGGTGAACTGTGAGCTGAGCGGTGAGCTGGGGTGAATTTATGTATTCAACTTGCTTGAAAAGTGATCAACGTCTTAACCGGTGAATGGTAAACGGTGATCTGTGAACGGTGAGCGAATAGCTGCGATTATGATTGTGATCGTAATCGTGGTAAGTTGGTTTGTGAGCGTGGTGAGTGGTGGTAGTGGTGGTAGTGGTAGTGGTGGTGGTGGTGGTGGTGGTGGTTATGGTGGTTTAGTAGTGGTGGTTGGTGGAATAGTGAGCTATAAAAATGTGTGCGACAGCTGTGAAAGCTGTGCATGTAATTGTGAGAAAATTGCGAGACGAAGAGAGAAGAGAGAGAGAGAGTGAGCGTGAAAGTGTTGTACACAAAAATGAAACATTTCAAAACAAAGAAAAGTAAAAACATATACACATTATAGTTATTATAAAAGTTGTATAAGATTGTAGATGGTGTGAACAACTAGATGTATTTGAATTGAATGGAGAAAATTGTACGAACAAATTTTAAGTAAGGTGTAAACTTGGTACGTTAATTCTAAATATTCAACACAGTACAAGTAAGAGTAAGACAAACAGACATATACATATATTTGTAGATATATATAGAGGTATACGGTAATACGTAACTGCTCGAATCAACTGGTACCGCAGTCAGTTCGTTGGTGGGTTCTTAGCTTTAATTTTATTCTTTTACTTTTGTTTGGCCTGCTGGCCAGTGCATTGCATACAGATCCTAGATAAGGGCATACCTAGTCTTTGATATGATCTGCCATATGCACTGGCCCGCATAGCTCACACTAAATCATACTTTAGGCTAAATCCCATCATCGAGCATAAGTATTATATGTAAAATTGTTAAAATAATACTAAGCATTTGATAGTTTTCAAGCATTGTCGCAGTATCTTCTGCAATTAACAGTCACAACTGAGTTTGATTACGGGTTTTGGTTGATTTCATTATTATTTGGTTAATTTTTGTGGAGGTTTGGACAATTTTCGAACGTAAACAAATAGCCACTATAAATATTTACAGAGTTAGGATTGATTTCTTTTGTTTAGTTGTAAATACTGTGGTTAGCCTCTTCTTGTATAGTTGTATCGATCTTGGTATCGGTATTGGTATCTGTATTTGTGTGTCGGATCGGTAATGTGCTGTCGGCCTTGTTTGGAGTTTGATTTGGTTTTGGATAGCTTGACTTGAGTGTTACTAGATGGTTGGTTTTAGCATACTTTTTTTTTATGGAAAATAAGTTTTTATATAAATATACATATATATGTCTAACAATATATACATATATATTTATGTTTTTTGTTGGTAATTTTTATAGGTAGTAAATAATTGACAGATACACATACACTAGTTAAATACAGAGAGTGGCGTAAAATTATTTTTTATAGTTGCTTTATATTAGCTCGATCGGTTAGCAGCATTTTTGGTAATTGGTAATTGGATTAATTTAGCTTTTGACTTTGGCTGTGGTTTAGCTTGGGTGAGAGTCAGTGATTGCGTGATTGGTAGATAAATTTACTGTGGCAGTTTGGTGATTGAGTGAGTGAATGCGATTGAGATAGAGAGAGAGAGAGAGAGAGAGAGAGTGTGTGTAAGTTTGTATAAAACTTGCCGTTTAGTTAATCAAGTTTTTGTTTTTTTTTTTTTAAATATTGTATATCAATTTAATTGTGATTTGGTTTAATTGCATTTTACTTTGCTGTTTGTTACTGTATTTTTTCTTCTTCTTTGTTTATTGCTCTGGTGAGTATAAAGTGTTCAAGAGTAGGTGAAATACAAAAACATAATTGACTTGTTGCTCTTGTTACTTGTAATTCTTGTTGTGATCTAAACGAGTACGTTGTGAGCGTTGCATCCGCTTGCTGAATACAAACGAGTGTTTGACAAATACTAAATGCCGAGCGTGTGTTAGTACCCTGGCCATTCCTCAGTGAAAGTGAGAGTTCGGTGATAGAGAGAGAGAGAGATATATATATATATAGAGAGAGACAGTGGCGAGTGAGTGGTGAGTGAGTGAGCGAGTAAGTATAGTAGTAGGTGATCAAGATCAGCTAACGAGTGAGCGCACGCAGCGATTGTGAAGTTCGTGAAAGTGTGTTGAAATTGGTGGAGAGCGTGGATAGTAGCGAGTGGTGGCGGTGGTGGTGGTGGTGGTGGTGTCGGTGGAGGGGGTGAGTTGTGGAAAATGAGTGAAATTGAAAGCACTAAATAAGTAAGTTCCTTGGATTCAGGAGCTTGTGGCTTAGGAATGTAATTAATCAAGTGTTGAGTAATTGCCTGTGAACTATAGCTGTGTGCGGCGTGGTGTTTCAACTTCTTCAAGTGTTATTCTACTTTTAGATTTAACATAACTCGCTTGCTGGTCACTGGTGTTGGTGTCCAGGAATTTGCATAGTTAACATTTTGCTATTGATGTTTTGTTGTTGTTTAATTGTGTTTTCTTTGTTTGTTGTTGTTTTTGCATTTAATTAGGTGATTCGGTTTTGATTGTTTGTTGATTGGTTTGTGTAAAGTGATTTGGTGGAGAGCCAGTTTATATTTCGTCACAATTTGATCAACAATTTATGTTCTTTTTCTTAATTTTTCTTTTTTGCGGGTGAGGGTTATGTTCTAATTTGATTTTATTTTAAACTTTGTTTAAATTTTTTAGTATTAGTTTATGTGAAACGTTTATATTGTTTTGGATTCAGTTTTTTTATGTCTTTGTAAGCACATTCGAGGGCGAGAGCGAACAAGAGCGATGAGTTTGAACGTGTTTTCGAAAAAAGGCGTTAAGAACAAACATAACATAGACATAAACAATAGACAATCAATAAAACAAAAGTAAAAAAAAAATTGGCTACATAGCTCAACAAAATGAAGCGGGCAAAGCAACGCAAGGCCAACCCGAACAAACGTATATATAGCGAAGTGAATTCTGTTTCACAGATTCCCGGGTCCGAATTCCCATACCCATTTCCCCCACCATAATGTGCATGTGTGTGTGTGTGTGTGTGTGTGAGTGTGAGTGACTGTGTGTGCGTATGTAATAAGCATCATGTGAGGCTGGACTGAGTGACTTACGCTTACGAACTGATTAACAAAATGGCATTTCCCCGACTGACTGCAATGGCTGTGCGACTGACTGACTTCTGCCCAGTAACCATAACAATGTATTTTATGCCCACAATCCAGTAAAAGTCGGAATTTGCTGCTGCTTCTGCCGGGACAGCGAGGCAATAACTGGGTGGCTAACCGAGAGCTTTGGTGCTCGTTTTTGCTATTAGAACAACATTGGCAATACATTGGGGCAATAAAAATAAGTTTTGTAACAATACAGCTCGCCAGCTTAGCCACTGCGCTCTGTGTTCGAGTGTCCTTTGAGTGCCTTAAGCATCTCACACATGATGTTGTTGCCGCCGTCGCTGCTGTTGTTGCTATTGTTATGACTTTTGGGTCTGCTA